GTGAACAGAAAATCTCCCATTGACTTGAGCAGCGCAGGATTGGGCTGTAAGTACATCATTATCCGAGGGGTCCATCTGGGTTTCTTTTGCATGTGTAACTATATGCACTTGCAAATAGGCTAGATGCAATAAAAGACTTAAACGTTTGGTCCTGTGGGGGGGAAAAATGTGCACTAGAAGCCAATGCCTTGGAAAGCAAGGATAGTTCTCCAGTTATGAAAGAAGCATTATTACCAGATAAGCTCAAAAACACAACGGACAGACAAAAATTGCAAGTGACGTTTCACTGTTGTTACTGAGACCATGTGGGTGAACTGACAGTGGAAATGCGGTTTACTTTGTAAGAAGACATTAAAATACACAGAAGAATAACAAGCGGCACTGCATACAGAGAAGTCGAAAGCTGCCCACCTGTGTCTGTTGAGGGATATTTACAAAGCTTGGATCCCGTGGTCCAACACTGACGAATCGGTTTGCGGGGGAGGTGCTGGGTGTCGAGTAGGCTGTGAAGGGAAGGGACACATGCGTTGAGGAAGCAGCACTAGATTGCACACAAACAACACCAAAACACACCGTCTCAGAGCCACCTAAGCAGATGTTTAACATGGAAATGTGCAAACGTTTTAGAGAGCAAGAGTTGGATTTCAGACACTGGAAAGGTTTCCTCTTAGGGATGGATATATAAACACATACATAACTGAGGTGCAGAATGTAATTCCTTGAAACCTAATAAGACAATGTACTCAATTCATCTGAAGAGTTTTTTTAATTTGAGAAGAGTAACACTACTGGCCTTTTGATGATGGCTGTACAACAAGCACTGTGAGCCCCGAACCTGGGTGCATGTTCCTGAGTGCCTTCACTCACATACGTAAGTTCCCAAGTGTCTTCACTCGCATAGACTTCAAACACACTATTCATGTCAATAAACTTACTCAAGTGCATAGTAACAGAATTGGGCCCTTACTTCATTCTAGTGGAGTGCAGTATAAATTATTAAAGCCCTGACTGTCATACTGTTGGGGTCTGCAGAGTCCAAAACATTCATTTGATCTGTTTGTCAAACTAAGAATGTTCTTTTGGTGAAAAATTAATGGGTTACAGTTTGGTTGGGGTAAGAAGTGCACTCAGTCTGAAAACTCCCTTTAAAAATTGGAATAGCTCCCGTAAATGTAAAGCTATTAAACGTGATGCAAGCCAAGAGGAACCCAGCTTACTTCCAAACTGGAAGTACTTTAATGATTTTATTGTTGCTCTACTGTTCTCCACTGCAGTTGTCTAGAACTCGATACACTTCAAATTCAAAAGCTTTCAATATATCTTAAAGTAAGTCCATAGGTCTGAACACGGCACACATGCAGGCATGCGCCCTCCCCCTCTTTCTGCTTTCTGTGAATGCTATCTAAACAAAAACAATTCAAAAGTCGTTACATATATTTAAAGGATTGGAAATGCACTATACTAAATAAAAGTCCATAATGTGAAGCAAAATAAAGCTGGCTACCCAACTCTCAGATAGAGAGGTAAAAATAACTGTATAAAAAGTGGGCTGTGGCTCATGAAAGCTTATGCATCTCTGATTCAGTTAGTCTATAAAGTGTACTTTGACCTTGCTTTTGGCCAAATTAAAGTGAGGGCAAATATATAGTTTAGGTCTCATTTGAGGAGAAAAACAATTATACTTCTGTATTCCATAAAGATACTAATCTTTTTTCAGTACAGCTGAAATCCTACTGCTTTTTCAAGGCAAAGTATTTGGTGAAAACTTATGTCAGATGAGCTGTTGGTTTGAGGACTCTAGTGGATTCTCATTTCATATCTGACTATGAGGAATGGATGACCTCAATGGCAGGATCTTTGAGGAAACAAGGATATGTCAAGTGTGGATTAGGACCAATCCTATGAGAAACTGAATAATTTAGGCTCCTTTGAACTCCTACTAATTTCACTGGGAGCTTACAGTCCTCTGCACCTTTTAGGATGGATTCTGTCTTGGAGACTGAGGTGAGTTTTTCCCTTTCAGAAAGGCACTAAAACTTGTTCAGACAAAGCGACTCTGCCTTTCTGTAATTCTTAGCAAAGATTTAATATGAATACGGTGTACAGTAGTTAGGTTTCACGTCCTAAGATTATTTTTTCATAGTATTGTACAAAGTACAGCATATTTACTGGTACATTGCTTAGTATTTGTAAGTAATAACTAAATTGCAAATATAAGGCTAAGAGGACAAGTAGAACTGATGATGTATTTGCTTTGCTTTTTCTGTGCATGCTCAAAAAAGGCAGTAATTTGCAATAGATATAGCTCATCAATGGTGTCAGTTATTTTATGCACTATTTTCTAGTTCAGAAATGCTTGAGATAACTATCAGTTAACCTCTGAACCCAACATAAAACAAGAATGAAGATTCTTCCTACAGCAACAAGAGTTGGCTTAGACCTCAAAATCAGAAACCTGCTATCCAGCTCTTTGGATCCTCTTTATGAGGTAAAAGGAGTAGCTCCTTAGAGCAGCTGCCTCCACAGAAACAAAGATCAGAGGTGAATAGAAGAAACTCAAATTAACTTTCCAATTTTCAGCTACTGCATATCACTACTATGCCTTGCACTGGCAGAAATCTGGTGCAGGAAGATATGTGCCTGCAGTGCAATGTATAATGTTTTTGGCACTGATGACTATGAGGAGAAGGTTTGAAAGTGAAGAAGACATGCAGATGAAGGAAGAAAATTTCTTCTGCAGTAAAGTTCACTACAGGCGATGTCAAATTTGCAGTGAATTTTGGCTTCAGGCTCATACAACAGGATGCTTCCATCCAGCATTATTTTCACTCTGCTTAACTGAGGCAAAATGATATAATAGCTATTGCAAAACCTTTGTGATAACTGTAAAGCTAACTGCTGTCCCATTCCAAGTGCATATGCAACCATTTTGCACCAAGTGGACTTCTGGAATTTATTTGGCCCTTCTATACGAAGAATCCAATATTATTTTGGTGCTTGATCTACCAGACTGATCTACAAGATACAGTTTATTATTTAAACACTAGCAGTCTCTCAAATAAATGGTTTCTTGTTTGCCTGATTTCATACTAAGGTATTTTCTAGCAAGGCATTACAGGGAAACCACATTAAGGCTACCTTTACTATATATTTGTTCAAGCAGAAGGAGTCTAAAGTTCTTTCTCAACTACATACTCCATGTAGAGTCACTTCAGCAAGCTCATTCTGGGGGGAAATATAACAGCTATATAAAGACATGCGCTTTCGTGTTAATAACTGAAACTATCTGTAACTCGGTATCTGAAAATGCTTAAATTTAGATTGGTGCTAAGATATTAAGAGGAAACGGCAACACTGGAAGTGTTTACAAGTAAAGAATACTGAAACAATGGACATTATACATATTGTGAATGTCATATCCTATACTGCAGTGTGACGCTGATGGTGACACCACCACAATGATGTGAGGCACCAGGGGATATCTAAAGATCGCATTGGTGAGAATATCCTTTTTGCCGTGGCACGCTCAGTTGCACTAGTCCCCGTGTTGGGATGGGGCGGGTAACAAATAGAGATTCCAGCTACTGCAATACCAGCTCTACTTCTTGCAACATCCTATCTTCTCCTTGGACATTTCACACCCAAATACAGTATAGAGTGCTTCCTGCTTGATGTAGGGAGGTGGGCTGAGATGTTTTCCTGGATGTCCTACCATTTCTGACTTTTGGACTCTATTCACTAGTTTTAAGAACTGGAAACACCTTTGGTTGGCTAAAGTTATAGCAAATGAATATTTTTTAGATGCAAACATTTTTGGGGTGCTATCTTTTATTGGACCAACTGCTCAGGAGAGATTTAGGCAAGCTTTGGAGTAAAAGGCACCTTTACATAGTCTCCTTCACAGTGGTGTTTCCAACTCTATTTTACAAAAGGGGATACACAAGCTAGAGAATGATAGTGGGAGCAGTCACCTGCCATCCAATCCTATTCCTTAACCACAAGATCATCTCTGTAGGTTCCTTGGGCCAGATCCTCAGCTAATACTATGCCAGTTTACAGATGAGACACTAGCCCTTTGTGTTTTAATAAGAATATTTTCCTGATCAGTGCAGTCTTTCTTCTGTTGGAATCTGCTGTGGAGTATTTCCAGCCTGTAGCTGTGGAAATGAACTCGATGCCACAAATTTAGTATGATGCTTCACTTCAGGAACAAGCAAAAGAGAAAGAGCTGGCAGGGAAAGAACACTTGCTCACACAAATAGCTTTGGTGTTTAGCCAAAATGGCAAGAAATACTATGAAAGACAAGACATTACAAACAATGTTATGAATGTGATGTATTCTAAAGTTTTCTGCAGTAGGAAAATGCTACTGTAACAGATACTTTCCCAGAAGACTTGTTGCATGCTAATGGGTAGTCTACCTAGCAGTTGTGACTTAACAGGGAAAACGATCCGCTGCTGATCCGCATTCCAGTCTGTTCTAATCTAATGTGCTGAGAACCCTCCTGTACACATCGGACAGAGAAGTATAGGTACCTGGTGTGTACAGCAACAGTGCCTTGACGGGCGACTGATACTAAAAGTTTAAATCCAATATACACCTCCAGTCAGAGGTACAACCAACCATACTAGAACACAGCACAAATACAATGTAGAATACACTGCATACCAGAGATTCCCTCCAGCTGTGTCTCTTCCAGCACATCGCACATGCTGACAAATTAAGTTATCATCGTCATCATGGACTGGGAAAATAGGGCCCAGAAACCTGAAGTACCTTACCCCAAGGACACTCAACAAAAGTATGACAGAGTAAGAAAGAGAAATAAAAGCTCCTGATTGTGAGGCTGGTGCTTTAACCACAAGATCATTCTTTTCTTGTGTCCATGCACTTACTGTTTAACATGAAAGTTTCTTTATATAAAGACATGCTGAGTGGATGCTTTTGCCCTGCAAGGGAAAAGGAAAAGCTCTACCTATGCGAAGTTGTGAAGCATCAGAAAGTTTAGCTAAGGGAGATGTGCCTCTAAAACCAAACCCCACCTTCAAATAGGAAAGCAAATCTTGTGTTGTAATAACAGGTTCAGATACTAGTGATCTGGGTCTTTTGTGCTAAGTACTCCCAGGTGGCAGAGTCCAATCAGTACACAACAGAAGCAGGGTTTTCTCAGGGCCACAGGGGGTCAACTCCAGGAACCGTCAAGCTTGGAAAAGCAACTTAGGGCCACTAAAACCAAACCTCTTAGACAGGGAGAGATGGGACATGAACTCAGGGTCAGTGTGTAACACGAAGGTGGGTTTTCTACTCTGACTCCTCTTTTGGAGGAAAAGCATAGCCTAAAAAATCATAGGTACCATCCCCACAGTGTTGTTTCCTCACTGATGGAGGTGCTGGATTTGCAGGAGAGGTCAGATCTCCCCCTGGAAATTCTGAGGCCAACCCTGTACCCTGGATCATTGTGCAGTAGCACCTGCGTGCACCTCCCTAGGGTCTTCTGTCTTGGGAGATCCTGTTTTCCACAGAATTTTAATGTCATAGTTGGAGAGTTTTACTCTTGGGCTCAGAAGCATTAACTACCATGTTATGATGATCCTCCTTTCCAGGAGGGCATGATGTATTGAGCAGCTGCTCCTGGTTTCTGCACCCTTCTGGAGTGCCATATTCCAATTCCTGGTAGTGCTTCAAATACATTTTGTTTCTGTGGAGGGTTTTATACTAGATCAAGGAAGAGGAAGAGCACAAAACAAATGTTAATCCTTCTTCACTCCATTTCCTTGGGGATTTTTTTTGCTTCCGTACAGAGAGAGCCCGGCTGAAAGCTAACAGCACTCCTCTGTGACGCGGTCGGTTCTGTTCAGTAAGTTTCTTTCCATTACTGTAAATGCTATGGAGGGCAGGCAGCCCTGAAAAGGGATACCCCTGCTGATGCACTGGTGCACTGAAAATGCGTAACCAGGGAAAACGCTTGCTCATTTGCTTTTGTCAGCCTCTGGTGACTCCAAACTGCCTATTTCCACTCCAATATTTAGTCAAAAATAAAATAAAAAACCCAAACAGCAGCAAATAGTTATCTCAGCAGGGTCCATGTTCTATTTGCCATATTTATTCTAAGCTCAAGACATTGCTTAAGGACACTATGATACAGATATACCTGGATAGTTTTTGCACTTATTAAAGACCCGTTTAGCAGTGAAACCCTCAGTATAATGATTGCAAAGAACAGAAGCAGCAAGAAGTGAGAAGCTGACCCTGGACTGGGATGATGGGTATATTCTGGTCTGGGCAAGCAAACTCTGCAAATTATCAACTAAAGAGGGATACTTCAGTCTATAGGACCATTCTAAATTGTCAGAATATTTTTTGGAAGATTTGTCCAGTGAGTGAAATGCCTGCAGAGAGGTGAGGGGAAAGCAGGGGACTGGAGGGATATATGCCTAATGTCTGTGGGCGACATCCTCTATGCTCATAGTCTATTGTAAGCACTGAACATGATGGACTGGTTCTGATGTGAATGCTGCCCTGCAGATCTCTCGCCATTCTTAAAATCGGTGCTACCTCCTGAAAAAATCCTGTTGGCTTATTTTGCCTTCCCCTGGTTCAGGTATGAATCTAATTTTTCTTTGAAAATAGGTCCTATAAATCTACATTTCCAGAGTAGATTACACACTCCTTAAAAATTAGTCCACTGGTATAGTCAAACCATTTAGCCTGCATGATTCTTATCAAATGGAAGGTGCATGCTCGACTGTGTATAGAACTGTACGTTTAGCTATCAGACTGACTAATTACCAAGCGGTAATTATTTTTTCCTAATCTTTTGTTTAAATACCATTAACTAGCTGCTCTTGAAAAAACCTGGATTCCTAATTATCTTGACAGCTGTCAGTTGAACAATCCCAGCCACAATGGACCAGCCCTTCAGCTGGTGTAAATCAATGTGGCTCCCCTGACTTCAGTGGACATATGCCAATTCTTCCCCCTGCTGAGGATCCAGCCAAGTACACATTTAGCTTGTTTACAGAATCAGAGAATCACGGAAAGGAACGTGAAGATAACTCTTAAAAATGGTGTTTAGACATTTTTTTTTACTTTAAGCACTACAAGCTGCCAGTCAATTATGAGCTATAATTGAAATGCTGACACATTCAATGCACAGATTTAATTTTTCCCAATTCTAAAAACCTGAACATACTGAGGTATCTCAAGCTGTGCTCAGTTGGAGCTCTGAGTAAACATGAACCTTTTTCACTAGGCTGAAATACTCGCTGCTTGAGACGCAACCTATGCTGTCCGGTTGAAGGATGCCGCACAAAAATGCCATGATCTTCCGGACTTGGCACATGCCTCGAGAAACCAACCACATCGCAGTCTGGTCTTGAAGGGGTGAATTACCTGAGCTGTGCCCGAAGCTTTAAAATTTAGGCTCCATATGTTTTAAATAACACATATCTCCTTGGGTAGCAAGCAGCACGATATATAACATTTAAATAATAAAGCTTCAAAGCATGCACAGGGAATTGGTTTTTTGATTAGATTGATTGATATGTGTGTGTGTGTGTGTGTGTGTGTGTGTGGACATCTTGGACTCACCTCATTGTGGAATAAGTCACCTACTGTTGCCATTAAAGCGCTGAAAGTTTCCCCTTTGGTTTTAAATGCCAATTTGTTCGTAGCTTCATTAAATCATTTCGTAATTAACTCCTGGCGTATCCAGATTTTTTACAGCTTTAAGCCCAGCTGCAGCAGATTTTGTTTCCCAGCAGAGCCAGTCCAAAACAGTATCCCCATGTGTACATGCAGGAATTTGTGTATTTGACTTGTAGCTACACAAAATGCATGAGGGGGCTGTGCGGGTGGTAAGGAAAGGATTGGAGGTTTCACCCTGGGCAGAAGAAATACCCTAGCGGTCTGCACAAAATGTAGACCCTGCCAAGGAGCATAGTCATAAGGGAAATGAGCTGTCATAAGGGAAATGAGTCTGAGTTTCTCTAGAAAGGCATATTCCAGGGAGAGCTGTAAAAGGAGTGAGCTCTGAGGACTTGTCAGTTTAGTCTAGCGTGTCCAAGAAGCAAGTCTGTGTGGCTCTCTGTCTGCTTTCTGCAGAGCTCCGGTAAGTCCCATCTTGCAACACATGTGAAAGGCCAGCCCTGTGGGCTCTTCAGGACACTGCCAAAGGTCCCAAGTGTCCTAGCCCCCTCATCCCTCCATATTTTAGCTGCTGGCTGCTAGCTGTCTCAGATGTAATTATGTGCACTGCCAGCAAAAAAATCAAGTTGGTTCTGTATGACGGAAAATAACAAGCTCATAATTTTTTGCCAACCTTACACAATCTGCTCAAAGCATAGTCCACTCCTCCTCATCTGTGACCAGAACATAGCTACGGCATTTTGTGGATAATGAAACCCTTGGTTCCTTGTTGCATCCGTACTTACTCGGTGAAGTGGGGGAGGTGGCCCCTCCTTCTGTCGATGTGGTTGGAGGTTTTGTGTCTGGCACTGGCAGAGGCACAGGCCTAGCCATTGGTGGCGGAGGTGGTGGTGGCAACATTGGGGTAGGAAGGAATGGATTGTGCACCTTGCCTTGGCTGCTACCATTGGGCTGCCAAAAAACAAACAAACAAACAAACATCATCTATTAGGAGCCTCTGGTAATGGGAGAGTCACGTTTACAATTTTGTGCATTCAATTCTTAATTACTCAATGCTAAGGAAGCAAAGATACTAGAATGAAAGCCTGCTGTGCCCTATACTTCATTGTCTTCAATGAATTTGGCACCATACCCCACATCTGGCTTCCAGTAACTATTTTAGATCTTTTAAACCCTTTTCTTTAAGACCTTCACTCAATTTCGTGGTCCTGGTAAAACTGTTTTTCCCAGGATAATAACAGGTAGAGTCATTTTGGACCAAGTTGTACTCTCATTCACATGCACTGTACATGCACCACTGAGCTAGGTAGGGTGCATACTTAGGCAGACATTTTCCAGATTCATGCCTCTCCTGTTCTCTTAGGATATCTGTGCCTGGGACACGAGTGCAAATTTCTTTCTGCTCATTAGTAGAAAAAAATAAGCATTTTTATGGTCTTAAAAGTCAAGTAGATATTCTATTACATGAAAAAAATGAATGAATTTTAAGCAAATTGCACTCCCACAATCCTCTAAAGTTATCAACAGTGCAACTCATAGTCTAGTTGATTCTGCTGAGGAACTACTGAAGTTAAATCTACATAATTTAAAAAAAACTTAAAAGTACGCTGTTCTGGAGTGTGCAATTAGAGACAGAATGGAAGTTTGCATACCAAACAGAGATATTTTAACTGACTACCAGAAAAAACCCTTGCCTACTTGTAAAAATACTTTTAGTATCACCATAACAAGAAGTGGGGATATATTTGTTTTAAATCTGAGAAGTTACAATATTAATGCGTAACTGGCCATCTGAAAACTATATAAATTGATGCTAGTACCATTAAAAAGAAAAAGCAGGACTGTCTGAACCAGGTGGTCCATTCTAGTGACAGAAAGGATGAGATCAGTTTTGACAGCGCTCCACACATTGATCTTAACTGCAGATCTTCAGGGACCAAGTGTCCCCTTTTCCATTGATGACAAATTCTCAGGCTTAAATAAAAATACACTTATAGGAGTTGTCTAGGACTAAAGAGCCAATCATATAAACATGTGCCCTTTACGTGGCACTGTAAAGAAGCCTCGGGGAGAGTAGCTGTTAATTACTCTGCCAGGACTGGAAAATGTCCGTAGGTAGAAATAAGGACCAGCCTCACTTGACTTGAAGAATGTAATTACTGGAGTTTGTGGGACTGAGGCCTGAGTAGGAAGCCATTCTTCAGGAATATTTATGTTTCCAACATCCAGTACCTTTAATAAACTAGTATATTTAGTCACATTCCTCAAACACTATCTTGTCTTACAATTAAGTCACTTTCCTGCCAAGCAGACCTTTGCTGTATGTTCATTGTGAGTATGCTAGCAGTTCATAATGCTGAATGGTTTGGGATAAACTAAGCAAATGAATACTCAAGGAAAAAGAAAAGCACTATATTGATTTGTTGTCTAGACATAAATGTATCTGATAACATATTGCAGACATTATTCAAAGCCAGTACTGGCTGGGTTATGCAGAATAAGGTGTTTTTTTAGGTGAGGAGAAAAGAGGATTGAGGACACAGAAGCTTTTTAAGTAAGTGTAATAAATTAGATGCTAAGACTTATGTTAATTCTCATTAACACTCTCAATATTGTGTGTATAGGAAAAAAAATAATTTTGCCAGTTGTTATTCCATTGGTGGAATACAGTCACATGCATTATAATCCACAAAACATTCATTACAAGATTTAGATATGATTTACATAAAGTTTATAAACTCTGCATTTGACTGGAATGTTATTTCAATAATGTGAAGATGATGATTCACTTTATTTGATTAAAAAAATGAAATTGCTTATTTGAAGCTTTGGAACGTAGCTTAATTTTTCATAGAGATAAGGGGAAGAGATAACTGCTTACAGAAATAACAAACCATAATAAACTGTACTTTTAACATCTTGAGTTCAAGTACTGGTCAACTTGATCTAAAGGGCTATACGGCAGTATTTTTTTAAAGTGAACTTAGCTGATCTGAAACATCTGTTTCTCACCCTCCCTTTTCCTGCTCTTCCCCCCCAACTTTAAAAAATAATTAATAAAAATTATTTGGACCTTGTATTTTGCTAACCCTAGTGGAGCTTGGGTTAGGATGCATGAGGCTGAATTATTTGTAGAGAAACCTCAGAAGGTCATAGAACTACCTCCCTATCAGACAGCCTGAGTTAGTATTACCACAGTGTAAAAAAACATTTCCCAGGAGTCAGCAATTTTTTTTCTGGCAGCAACCATTCAAGGTGCTACGTTCATGATGGGTGCAACACATTAAGAGAATTCCACGGTTATTTTACATAGGACAAATACTTCTGAAGAAATAAAAACAGTTTCCTTACATTTAGGAACCCCACCTGTCCAGCCTGCTGACCAGCGTCGGGGCAGACAAGTTGGACAAACTCTTTCAGAGTCTCCTGAGGATGATAGCGAATTGCTGGGTGTGAGAAGTATGGCCCAGGCTGTTGAATAATGGGTGATGTTGGAAAATGAAGAGTCGATGGTGTTGCATGTGGACTTGCTATAGGAAAGAAAACAAAGAAGTTACAGCGAGTAGATTCCGCCTTAGATAAAACAGTTCAAATCTACTGTAGCTCTAGCGTAGCTGTTATTTTTCAAATGTACAGTATTTTTATACAACTAACCTTCACAAATGGCATAGCAGACCATATTATATCCTAAACTCACTTCAGTCCAATCCTCAGGATAAAGGAGCTAGATATTTCTGAATGATTTTCAGTATTTTTAGTGGACATTTATAAAGGAATCAGCAGTCCTTGGTAAAAGTGATGACTATTCATTACCTTAAGAGCCTTTCTAATGAATCAAGCAATAAAAAATGTATTTGGGAGATTAGGCTTGATTTAATTGACATTTCAACTAACTCTAGTTTGCACATATGGATCCGTTTTTATTTTATACTATAAATGGTCAATAATTTAATGACACTTTTCTACCTCTTGTTATTTTTTTTTCACCCCAGTTTGGGAACATTTGTTTTATGTGAAATGCTTTCTTCTGCTGAACACATAGGAAACTGCAAGCCTGCTTTCCGAATGATGTTTTCTTTTCTCCGGAACAATTTTAAGATTTCAAACAAGCCCCTAGGCCACATTGAGAGACGATGTCGAAGGGAATTAAAATTGGGAAATTAGCACGATAAAGGTAGAAAGACAGCAGGAAAACATACTGACTGGACAGTGAATGTATATAGTGACGAATCCCCTTGGCAGTGACAAATTTGTTCTCAGTTTTAGCCATATAAGGCTATTGATTTTTTTAAAAAGATTGTACAGGTAAAACCGAGGGCAGAATTATAACCGCGCAGTTTAACTGATACCTTAATCCAGCCACTTTGAATTTGAGTTATATCCAGCTAGATCCTCTTTTGCTCATATCTGTTTACACCTGCTCACCCCTGTGTAATGAAATGCCGACATTTACAGACTCCTGAATTTTCCCCTTTTCCTCTAAAATAAGTTTGTCTTTCCTGCATAGAAGCATAGTGGTTTAGTAGGACACAAGCTCTTCTCATATCCAGGGTCTATGTCTCACCAAGCGCTAATCACTGCACCACTGTTGCTCCTTCACACACTGGCCCTATTAAACTTTTATGACTTTCTTGCTCATACACTACATCTGTAAACCACAAAGAACTGATCTGATAAGAGGCATACATGGCATTCAGTATCCAGAAGAAATTCTTGCATTGGACTTGGGGTGTGTTTAAAATACAGGAAAACCCAAAGGTGCAGTTACACATCACGTTTGGGAAAAGTTGAAGAGTAAGCCAAAATCAAAGAAGAGCAATAAATATTCATTTCATAATGGCTGTTATAGAAAGACTTTTACTAAACAAAAGCTAATATCTATTTTTCAGTTTTCAGTCCTTGCCAGTTTGAAAGCATGTTACTTTATTATTACTTTTTTGCTTTAATACTCATGAAAAATGTAACAACTTCGAAGCCTGAAGTTATGGATAAAACATACACAACAAAGGTAGCAGCGAGCCAACTTTCTCAACATGATCCTGCCAACAGTGTTCAAGCTATGCTTGAACCAGTATGGGATAGTTTGGTGTTCATGCCTATTTTTGAATGAATGGTTGCAACAACCAAGGGTGTCAGGAAGCATTCCAGCTATGGTTGATAAGTTCTGGACAACTAGCAATAGTCCTCGGTAAACGGACTAAACCTGTCCAACCCAGCATCCTACATACCATTCCACTTTGAGATATCAATCATCATATAGTATGAATGTCAATGACTGCTAATGGGTGGATGTGAATCTCTGTCCTAGATATGAAGAACTTTACTTCCCATTATAAGTTTTTGAGTTATCCAGTCCTCCCAGCCCATTTTCCCAACCCATGGCTCTTTTGGAAAAAACAGGAGCGTGAAGAATTGTACTCTATCTTCCTTTTTCACTGAGACATGCATACAAGCATGCGTCTTGGATTTTTAAACTAATTTTACATGGAAGCAACTTTATCCTTATTGTTTTTAAAAGCTAAAGAATTGTATACTTGTAAGATGCTCAGGTTAGAGGTGTTGTCTTTTTGTTTTCTTGATAACTCTAAGAAGAGAGAACCCAACCCCTTCAGAGCAGGGGGAGAAAGAAAACTATCCCACTGTCCTGCGCTCCTCCTTAAAGATGCATTCATTCCAGTGTGCCTCAGTTACATTAGAAATAAATTCACGATTCTGATTTTACTTATGCCAGTTTTATACTAGATTAAATTCATTGTAAATCCTCCTTTACACAGATGTGCAATAAGCCCCTCCCCAAGCTAACATTAATTACCACAGCTGGTTGGTGTCTTTTGTCAAAAGCATTTCTTAATATTTTAAATGGCTTTTAACTAAGAAGAAAGTGAAGAAAGTTTTTATGAGAACATTTTCATGTCCTTAGATAATTTGTACTCGTTAAATGCAAATTTGATTTGGCTTTTTTTTTTTTTGTATTTACAAAGGAAAATGCATTTTTTAAACCAGCTGTGTTAATGCTACTCGAAATTGTTATGATGCAATGGTATTATCTTGTGCATAAGTACAAAAAGCTGTGCTAGTAGCTTGGCTCTCCAGCTCTGTACAGGGCCTTTCTGAGGAGCACAAGGGCTGTGTCCACACGAGCGTGGATGTATGGTTCCCCAGGAACAACCAGCAGTGGTGCATCTTGTGCCACCGCTACTTGTCCCCAGGGAATACCTGAGATACGCGCCCTCTGGTGCACAGCAGGTTACCCCGGGTGGGGTAGGGGAAGCTGGGGCCAGCACTGGGTTAGCCCCAGCAGCCTTACCTGGGATCCTGGGGGCTTCCTGGGGCTGCAGATCCTGCCGGGTGGAGCCTGGCTGGCAGCAAGAGTGTGGCTCTGGCTGGTCAGGCTCCAGTTTTGAGCAGGTGTTGCTCCGCTCTTTTTTTTGACCCCTGGATATGTGGTATGTGGCACCGCAGACATGTCTGCAGTGCCACATACCACACAACTGCGCTCATCTGAACGTGGCCAAGGAGGCAGGTCTGGGAAACAAGGCTGGATAAGCAGCCATCCCCAGACAATGCAACACCTACTAGATTCGTGGAATTTCATTTTCTCCAAATGGATGATCCAACACTTAACACATGGGGTAAGGGACAACGCTTCCCAAGGATTTGTTTTTAGCATCCCACTGACAGTATCAGTATATCTTAGCTAGCCATAGGAAGGGTTGGTTTATCAGCATGAGAATCCATTTTAATTAACCTGATTAACATTACAAAGGTGACATGCCAAGTGCTTTTGAGTTTTGAGATATGGTATGCTAACCATTAAAGTCTAAGAACCTGTCCATTAGGTGTAGATCCCGGGTGTCAAGCTCCCTTGGCCCTCTAGGCTGGATTTGGACTATGGAGAACCTTACATGCCAGATCAAGACCAGCCTCATGGGCTGAATCCAGACCCGCCTCCAGCTGCAGGTGCAGGGCAAGTGGTGGTGGCGTTTACCACCACAGGCCCTTGAGCTTTGTGTTGTAATGCACCTGTTGCTTTCCCCTTTGCTGCACACATACACTCCCCAGTAGGGCTCCATATTCCAGAATTTGGTGGTCCTCCCCCTGATCACCCAACCCCTGGATTCGAGCCCTTCCAGAAATCCTGCAGGCTGGCTGATCCAGCTCAGTGGAACAGATCCAGATCCAAACCCTGATACAAGTGATTAGCTGGATCCACTTTGGCAGATCCTACACTTCTAATACAATCTGTTTGGGAGAGAAATACAGAGGAAACAAAATGCCAAGAGACCTCCCTCACTGCAGAAAACCAGGAATATGGAATACCACTGGGTTACTGAACATGTATATCATTGTGAACATTTTTAATTGATCAGAGGATGTGAAGCCTTATTCAACTTTAGGCTGGTATTTCCCCTCCTTAAGTCTCTTAGGATCTTCCATAATGTCTGTATTTTCCTCCTATTTCTTGTTAGCTCAACTGTATCATCATAATTTACTTTATATGAATTCTCTTCCCTCCCTTCATTGCTCCTCAAACAGAAATTTACACTGGTGATATATATTCAGCGCTGCACCCTTGACATTACTTTAATTCCCTCTTCCCTTTTCCATAAGCTCTCAGAGATTCACAGATTGGACAGAGACTTGTTGCTTTTGGCACTGGCTTTTTACATAGATTCCCAGTTCCGTAGGAGGATCCCAACAAATCCTGCCAGTAGAGCAGTGCAAATAGTAAAACTCAATCTACCCTTAGGTGTGGTGTAGTCTAGTGTTAGTGTTATAGGCACATTCCTTCCCTGCCATGTTAATGAAGCATTACAGCATAGACTAGCTTTTACAAAACTGTACCATCTCAGTTGTTAATCATTAATAATCCAGGTATAAGTGAAAACCCTGGCTGAGATGTTTTACTTAGCCAGGAACATTACACTCTGTGTCCATACAGCAACAAGAAGTTTGTTATCAAACTGCGTATGAAGGGAACGGCAGTCTACAAACTCTTAGGGATTGGTATGTCCATGCAAGGCTTTCAAGGAGTAAAGGTTTATGAAGACCCTGCACAGAAAACGTACTGCTTTGGTTGACAGACTTCCAGCCCGTTACCTGTAGCTTCATCTAATTATCAGTGCACAAGAGTAGGAGTCACAATACCATGTTTATGGGTCCTAATTTTGAAAATGACTCACCTCTCACCTAGAGCACATCATTGCAGGCAGTGCTTTCCAGTATTCATTTATATGGTCAGCTCAACACTTCTGAGAATCAGACCCTCAATTTACTCCATATAGTCACTTTTGAAAATTCGGATCTTAAATCCTGTGCGTGTCAGTTCCCCCATTTGTACATTGGATATAGTATTATTTACTGACTTTGGGGTACTATGAACCTCAATCTGGTATTCTCTGTAAGTTGTAAATGGCTTTGAGCTCCTCAGATGGAAGGCAACATAGACATACTACCATTATGTCATACATAACACAGCCATACCTTTTTTTGCACATGTAAACTTGAGAAATTCATATCTTCTTATGAA